TGCTGGCTATCCCTTAGGATGTTGGCGTCGGCCAGTCCATTAAGGATGGCCTCTTTAATAAACTTTTCTAAGATCTTCCCCAGAATAGAAGTCAGGCTGATGGGCCTATAGTTAGCCAAATCCACTTTCCTCCCTTTCTTGAAGATAGGCACCACATTGGCCTTCTTCCAGTCTTTGGGCACTACACGAGAGTGCCAGGAGTTTTCAAAGATCCGTACTAGAGGCTGGGCTATGATGCTTGCCAGCTCCTTGAGTACCCTGAGTGTAGATTGTCAGGGCTGGCTGACTTGAAGTTATCCAGCTTCTCAAGGTGTTCCTTCACGAGGTCAGCATTAATGGAGGGCAGGGGATCTCCCTCACCTGGACCTCCCTGTCCCGTAGCGGACATGGGCGTCCCATCGGACTGATGAAAGACCAATGCAAAGTACCCATTTAATAGGTTGGCTTTTTCCTGGGCGTCAGTTGTGAGTTGCCCCATCTGGTTCAGCAGGGGTCCAAAGTTGCCCTTGCTTTTCCTCTGGCTCCCCACATATCTGAAAAAGGACTTTTTATTGTCATTGATGCTCGAAGCTAGTTGGAGTTCAGTTGCAGCCTTGGCTTTCCTGGTTTGCTCCCTGCAGGACTGGACCAGTGCAGAATAATCCTCCTTGGAGGTGAATCCCGTCTTCCATCCTTTGTAGGCTTTTCTTTTTAGCCTTAGGTGGTCTGCTAGGTCCCAATTATTATTAATTATTGCTACTTAAAGCTAAGACTATATCTGTTCTGTTTTATGTTACTACAGACTTCATCTGATGGAGATACTCTAGCAGAGCTCCGTAACTAAAATTGTATTGCATGGCATTCTTCATTTAAAGTTGTAAATTTTAAATTAACATTAATTAGGGTAAGTAGGGAACAGGAGCCAAAGGCTGGTTGTCTGTCCCATTATTTAGTGGTTTTATGCTCTAATGACTATGGGTTTGATCCTCAGGTGAACTGATCATATGCTTAGCACAGCTGATGGAAATGGATTGTCACCTGTTTGCTCTCCCCAGACTGGAGTGGTGTAGAGCTCGGAAACTGAACTGACCCAAAGCAGTGGCAGTGGCAGGACTGTTCTAATTTACTGTGTGCTCAACAGTACCATTGGTACTAGCCAGCAGGCCATTTTGATGGGCAGCCATTATTCTCCAGTCCAACCCATTCCTTAAGCCTGGCCAGCTATAATACGCCATGGATATTCTCAGTTGCCCCTTTAGAGAAGATTCAGGGTCATGCAAAGAGGGACTCAGGATTAGGCCCATCATGTTTTGGCTTTTATTGTCTGGAAAGCTACACTGAATCTTACATAACGATTTGAAAATAGAACAACCCAACAATTCACCCATAATGCACAATATCCCAGTGGAGCACAAGAAAACTGAGTGCAGATCAGTTTTGTATAAAATATACTGGAGACTTAGATACAGTGCGATAGTCAGTTTAGGATTCCAAATGGTGAGAAATGACTGTAGCCTGTCATGCTTGAAAGCCTAATCTCTCTCAGAAGTATCAGATGTTCTGCGTTTTAAATTAAAAACATGGACTCAGGTTTTAAAGTCACACTGTCAGCTCGAAATCTATCACATTTCAAAACTGAATTAGAAGGTAGATTATGTTACTATGCCTGCCCTGAGACCTCCTGCCAACTTTGGGGGGTCCTATAATCATATTTTCCTATTTCTTTAAATGCCTTTTTCTCCCATAATGCTATGAGAAACACCAACAAAAGCAGAGGGAAAACTGGCTGACTCTAAGGGAAACAGTAAAACTGACTGTATATATCATATAGAACTATGAATGTAGAAAAATGGGGTGGCGGGAAAGAAGGCAAAAGCGAAAACATTTAAAAATAATCTATATAAGTGACAGCAAATAATCATAGTATGTTTAAATGATGCATATAACTTTATATTTTTAAGTTAATGGTGCCCTTTCCCAACATATTGCATCTAGTTACATTATGGAGATGTATTTAGCAGAGCAGTATGCGGTTTTACATGGCTATAAAAAAGTATTATTATTTTATTCTTTAAATGTTCTGATTCTGAGAGTTGAATGATAACACTATCAAAAGGAGCCCCAAAATACCAAAACTTTTTATCCATTGCAGACAGACCTAATTTAAAATTAAATAAATAAAGAGCTTTATTAATGCTTCAAGTGTGTAGGTCTCTCTTTATTGGAGAGGTTAGGTTGATAAATTTATCCATTTGTCCCCAAATGAATAGATCAATGGCATTCTCCTGGATAAGCAACTAATTGCTTTCTGCATCGTGGAGATTTGGTAATTCACTGTGATTCACTGTGGAATCTAGGTACTTTTGTAATTGATAGTATTTTATGACTGTTTAGTTTTGCTGACCTAGTGTGGTTTCAAATTCAGAAGTTGGAATGGTAGGCTGAACACAAGGATGTAGGAGAGTGCAAAATTAGGGACATGTTTTTTTTCAGGATTTTACATTTCTGTCATTAATATTTACTGGGCTGACATGGAGCAGGTCTGTTTTAGCACAATACTGCATGAAGCCCTGAGAGTGCAGGTTTTTGAATCCCGAAATACAGTTCTTCAGGGTCATTCCTTTTGATAAGTGCTGCAGAAAAGACCATTGTAACGTCATGCCAGGGTTCTTTACTGTTTCCCGCACTACTTTAAAAAATGATATACTGCAGCAAAAAAAATCATAACTTCTGTCTCACTTCAGGAAGTACAATTTAGGAATTGGACTAATTTGATAGATCGCTCATGCTAAGAAAAATATTAGAGACCAGAAAAGGTCACATAGGCCATTGAGGCTCATTTCATTCTATGTACGGTTTCCCCAGGATATCATCCAATTGCTAGCAGAAAGACTAATGTTATCCATTTTCATAATTTCACTTCTGGGTATTACAAAGATAAATATATAAATGTGGATCAACTTTTTTTCAGAGTGCTATTTAAAAAAAATCTAAATGAGGACAGGTTGGATGACAAGAAAGAAACTCAACTGAGATTAAATATATGACAATAATGATACTTATTTATATAGACATTGTCTTTCAAAGTTCCCTAGAGACAAGCTTTCAATTCCAAGATTTTCAGAAAGTAACCTTTCTTTTGATATATTGTTTCAGGGCCAATGCAGGAGACGATATATGACTTCTGGAGAATGGTTTGGCATGAAAACACAGCCAGTATAGTCATGGTTACTAATCTAGTGGAAGTAGGAAGGGTAAGTAATTTTTGTATTTATCTCAAGTCTTTCATCTTTTTGTTTAGATATTAAATAACCAACCAACAAGATGCTATTACAGTGAATATAGAGCATAAAATATTTATTATGTTTCTGCTGAAAGGTGCATTATTAATTATTTTTAAACATAGCTTGAATGCTCAGCTTTGATACTGTTAGTACAATGTAGAAAAGGAATTGATAAAACTGCTACTACATTTAGCACAGCCAACAAAAATGAATATCGTAATTTTGTCAGTGCCTTATTAAGAGTGCAGTACATTCTTGATTATCCAAGCCCTGGTTATCCAAACAGCAGCATTTTTCTTATTAACTTGTAACTATTGGTACTGTGTACTAATCTGTTCTCTTTATCTGCATCTCTGCTCCTAAGTTTGATACAATACTATACCTTGTAATTGTTGGTATTGTATAGCAAACTTCCATTTTAAGCTTTATTTAACACAATACTTTATCTCTTTAATACGGTAGCTAGTAGCTGTTCAGTTTATCCAAATGAATTCAGCAGATGAGTGGATTTTCAGTAGGTGCATCAAACAGGTTTGAATAACAGAGGATGCATTGTAACAATATTTATACGTATCAAGGAGATCACTTGGGAGCAATCTACATGGTAATCTTTCAGATTAAATTTGATAGGTCACTTTGACATGCCACAAATGTAATCTGAAAGATTTTAGAATTGATTTCAAAAGAGGAGTCTACAGTACCATGGTACATTAGTCAAAATCTATCTTCCCTCCCAGCTCCCCCTTAAAACATGATTTGCCTTCTAACTAGTAGGTGATATAATTATGAGTCCAGGACAATGACCTGTGGCTATCTGAGCATCCAAGAACATCCGGCCTACCTATGACTTTTCTCAGATGCAGGAATAATAAGATGATAATGTCTTAGCCTATGGGCTATAAGTTGAACAAGTAGATTAACTCAGATGAACACTGAAATGAAAATATAAAATCATTGTCTTAACCAGGAGGTTTTCTTCAGTAATTGTCTTACAATGAAAAAGTGGGGTTAGCCAGTTGATACTAGACATACAGGTTATCTCTGAAGAAGGTCTCTCTGTCATAGAATTGCAGTTTTATTGTCCATATGTATCCAAGGAGCTATTTCCTTTTTATACCCACCAGTACAGCTTTTTCTGTACACCAGCATCAGCAATCCTGGCTGTTGTTTTCTAAGGAAAATTTAGGAGGACTTGGCCACCTAACCCTTATTCTCCTTTGAAAAAAAGCTGAAATAAGCAGAATGGCCAACTCCTCTAAATTCAACATTTTCATTAGTTGTTGAACTAAGTGTAGACAGCACCCATATCTTGGTTTCAAGTGAAATGCATGTTTTTAATTTCTTGGTAATGGAGTGGCTGTTGCTTTTTCCTGAAAATAGATGTTTGCATTATTGGAAGATCACAGTTTAGGTACAAGGAATACTCTGAGTCAGATTGTCAGATCTCGCTTCCTTCACAAATTCAATTTATAGTCTCAATTTATTGGACCTGGATTCTGTGCTTACACTTAATTGTTTGTGTAAATCCTAGCATGTCGACATCTAACCATGTGAATCTACCCATAAATCAGGCACTAATATTGTAGCTAGGTCTCAAAAGATGTGATTTGTGACTATAATTAATGCCAGGTACAAAAACACAGGTAAAACTAATTACAGGGCAAAAAGGTAGACCCTTGAGGGAAATGCAGAGCAGAAACTATTTGACACTTAAATTCAGAACAAATTCCTTTGTTTTAATAGTAAATTCTGTACTGCATTTATTTCATTGGAGCTTTATGTAGATATCTTTTAAAGGGACTGTTAAACCATTTTCCCACTGCCTTAGGAACAAGAATAGTTTATTATATGAAACATCTTCCTGTTGTTATACAGTCAGTATTCAGAAGCATAAATTAAAGTGGCCTATCAAATTTAATCCAGAAGAGAAATAAGGGTTTTGGTTCCAGTCTTATTCACAGTAGTCTTTCTGACACACTACATCCCCTTGGCAGCTTCTACTGGAGGGGTCCTATTGTATTTCTAGAATGGGTAAAATCTCAAGGATGGGGAAAAATAAATGATACCATGGTTTCCCCTTCATATAAATCTTTTATGCGGCATAACACTCCACCTAGCAATACAGAGCTGCAACATGTAGATCTTGACAGCAACAAAAATTGGATCTAGCCTCACTTTTCCAGTGGTTTATATCTAGGAAATGAGAGCCATAATGTTGTTTTTTTAAAACAAAAATAAAAATACCTTTCTATAACAGCAAGGTTGTGAATCACAAAGCAGCGCAATTAAGCCCCTGTTGGGCCTTTCGTCTGTCAAACTGCACATATTCCCTCTTACCAATGATGGGACCATTGACACCAAGGAGTTACAGAAGAAACATGCCATCTGTCCTTCAACACCTAGCAGAAAGATCTGCACCATCTTGATTAGAGATGATTTGAATGGCTTCCTTAGTCAGAGTCCTGATAACTTTTTCTCCTGACCTTGAAGCTTTCCTCTTTTTTTTTTTTTTTTGCTGCTATTAATATTATGTTTAGAGATTATATTTTTTCTGACTCCATTTACCCACTGTAAGGAAAAAAAAAAAAAAGAAAAAGGAAAACTCCCCTAGATTTCCAGGAAAGAAGAATGCCTGTTTAGCATGTTTGCCACGCGAGGTGCACCCGTCATGAATTAATCATTAAGGGGGCGTATGCATATTTGTTTACTAAGACTGGATGGATGGTCATTAAATCAGTGTTAGGAACTTGCTTTTTGCCCTGGAGCATTTTGCATCCAGACTGTTTTAATTGCAGGTGGAGGAGCCACCAAGAGGCTGTCCCTACTGCAAGCACCTGCTGCAGATGACTCAGTCCCTGCATTCCCCTCCAGCAGGGTCTGGGTACATCTGCCAATACCTGTCATTATCTGAGGCATACTTGTCAAAACCATGCATCCCTTTAAGCTCCTGTGTGTTCCAGCAAGGGACCCTTGTCAGTTTTTCTGGCACCTGCTGACTGCTGTGCACCTGGTATTTAAATGGCACAGAAATGTGTTTTGATTGTTTTCTTTCTCTAATGAACCCACCTGAGGGACATTTAGCTCTTTATCTAGTAGCCTGTTACCCAGCCACTCACATTCACACTGTTTGTGTGGAGATTCAAAACTCACTTGTGTTGTTATACTAATCCATCTGCCAGAAGTCTTATCACAAAATCTGCAGGGCTCCCTAAGGAGACTTTTGCACTGGTAATTTAAGCTAATGATTTCTAAACATATTTAGTCGGTTTTATGAAGACCTCATTAGAATGTGACTGTTTATTAAAAATCTAAATGAGCTCTCACAGTCATTTAGGAAAATCGTTGTTGAGTTGCCAAGACCATTTGTCTGATAACAGGTGATGAGGTGGTTTGAAGTGAAGAGAGGCTTAAGCAGATGTTATGAAAAACAACAACAATACAACCCTACTCTTTAAGGGCAAAGATCAAAAGTCGATTTCCTCATTAGGTTAACGTTGGCCAGTTTTCCACTTAAGAAGAAGTTTTACATAAAAGAAAAGGCAAATGACTTAGGGAATGAGATGCAGACATTAATGCACCAGAATCAAAATTTTCCAGATCACTGACTATTGCATATAAAGCAAGGGCAGGC